TAGAAGAAGTCTAGGAATAGCTTCTCCAGCCTTCTCTATTCTGAATTTGGATGGGTACTTATAGGATCTTAGAAACCCTAATTATAATGGCTATGGGACCCACATCAAAATAATTAGGACATATATGATTTGGCTGAAAATTGCGTAAGGGGTTGACACGCTCAACAAAGTACCGGCACCTTGAGTGAAGCGTTGACTGGATACTCGCCTTTTGTGCAATTTTGGTTAATGATAAAATAATAGTCTTGGTCCCTAACTCTTGGATTCCATGCAAGTTGATCATCATATTTTTGATCTCTGCAATTTGGTCCTTAATCAAAAATGGAGAAAATCTCACTTGAGCCTTCAAACTTCTAAATTTGATCCTTGGACCCTTGTCTTTCTGGCTCTTTGCGTTTGAGTCCTTTCTTCTAATTCTCTTCATTTAGTTATTAAACCTTCAATCACAAAAAATTTACACACATGAATAGAATGAATAATTATGAAATTATTTGTAGAAAAATACAACTCTTAAACCCATAATTCCACAAATGTCAATGGTTAAGTACACTTTAAATATACATTTTCATGCTTTCATCACAACCCCCAATCAGTTTATTGTTAGTATCTAGCAATTCAAGCATGAGTTAAGAAAGAAAGCATGCTAATTAGCTCAAATGGATATTTGGCAAGACTATCTAGGGATTTAGAAAAAGATCACAGTCGCTATTAAGATTACTTCAATTATAACTTCCAAAAGTGTGTGTGTGAATTAAGCATAAACTTCATACCACAAACCATAACATATATAGCCTTGAGAATTAATCAAAGTAAAAGCCTCGACTCCATATCCTTACGGGTTAATAATTGTTTAAGACAAAGGATTTCTCTCATAGAGTTGGAAAGCAGCAAGTCACTCAAAGGAAAAGTCAAAATCTAATGGACAATCAAACAAACAAACATTGATTAGAAGATAGGCTAGTTAGCTATTCAAAATTCCACTACTCTTATTATAAACTAGCTTCGAGATTTCAATCAATCAAATATGAGAGCAATAAAAGTAGAG